CCCCCCCAAATTTCACATTTCTAGCACTTATGCAAGAAATGGTCACTGTTGTTTGTTTTTTAAATATATATCTTTATTGATTTCAGAGAGAGGAAGGGAGAGGGAGAGAGAGAGAGAGAAACATCAATGATGACAGAGTCATTGATCGGCTGCCTCCTGCACACCCCCGACTGGGGATCTAGCCCACAGCCTGGGCGTGTGCCCTGACCGGGAATCGAACCCTGATCTCCTGGATCCTAGGTAGATGCTCAGCCGCTGAGCCACTCCTGGCTGGGTAGTTTTTTTCCCTTTATCGAAAACTTAATTCTGTTTTTGTTCTACTTTTTATTTTGAAAAGATTTACTTGGTTTTACATTTTTTGACAGGTATCTTCACACAAGGACAGCTGGGCCTGGTAGACCTCATCTTCCAGTACATTCACTATGACGAGATCTGTGAGGCAATAAACATCCTGAGCAGCATGGACTGGGACACGCTGGGCCACCAGTGCTTCATCAGCATGAGTGCCATTGTAAACCATCTTCTTAGACAAAAGCTCACTCCCCAGAGAGAAGGTCAGACTCGAAGTATATTTCATAAGTGGGTCTTGCATATACATGAAGTACATTTATTGAGTCAGTTATTTTTGAGAATTATTTTGAGTTATGTTATTGGAGACTAAAAGACAAAAATGTTAATAATGCCTTATTAAAACTGATAAGATCAGATAGATATCAAATAATTACTCCCATATGGTACTTACTATATAGTATTTATCAATTTAAAGAACAATTTTCCTGTATATACTTACATTGGAACTCACAATGCACTCACTGTATATTTCAGTGTAAGTTCATGTGTGGAATATGCTCAGATTTCAAACTTTGATCAAGAATTTCATGCACTCTAGGGTCTGGTAGACAAAGGGCCGCAAACAAAGGTCCTTATTCCTCCTTAACTTTAGACATAAATATTTTTCTGCCTGTTTGCATTTCCCCACCTTCCCTCAGTAAATAATTTTTCCCATAGGATCTCAGATGTTTATTGTCAAAGAGAGATAAGACATTGTTTAAAAAAAAAAAGAAAACAAATGTGTGCCACATAAAATGAAATTAATTTTTATATTTATCATTTATCAGAGTTATTTTTTATTGATTTACTTATTTACTTAATGTAAGATGCACCTAAATATTTTGCACTTGCTGCTTTATTTCAAAGAGTTGAAATAAACATTGACATTAATGGTGGAAAATCATGGCCAATGAGAAATTGTCCCTAAGTAGTTTACAAGGTAGGGAAAACAGGAAATACATCAAAAGGTCTTTACTGCAGAGCTTGTTTCCCCCTACTGGTTTTTTTGCATGTTTATAGATGTTCTTATTCTATTTTATTTTGTTTCCAAAGTAAACAAGTTGCTTAGATAGAATTCCTTATATAACCTTCAGTTTAGTAATTTTAGAGAATAATCAATAAGAACGTGTTCCTTCAGGAAGTCTGCATCATGGGACTTGGCCCAACTCACAGGAGTCCCACAATAAATATTTATTTAATGTTACTTGAATGTGCTTTTTGGAGGTAGTCCAACCCATCTATGGGGATTCCAGTATTTCTACAATGAGAATATGCCTAGCACAGGGCTCTGCCCACAGTAGGTATTCAAATATTAGTTAAAAATAAAAAGAAGAGTATAACTTCAAAATTTTAGGTACTAGGTATTACTGTAAGATTTCTGCCTGCAGAGTTATTTCGAGTAATTATTTCTAAGTATTGGTACCTTCTCAAGATTGGGTATATAATGGAAAAAAAAAGAAGCAGAGCCCTTAAAGAAAACTTGTCATGATTTTCAAGAGATCCTAAATTTATAGTTGAAGAAATATGGAGAAGATAAAATATTTACTGTCACTCAGGACACTGAGAAATTACTCACACCTTGGTGAATTTGTATTGTAAGACTTCTGTGTTCTAAGAAAGATTATTAGGGAATTCACAAATGGGCATTATCAGATTTTTGCCTTAATAAAGTACATTTTCAGGAACCATATTGGAGAGATAGGGAAATAAAAAAACTTGTTTGATAGTAGGCTATTAAAATAAAATGCTTGCATATTATCAGAATATGTACATTTTAAGTAGGTATATGCGTTTTCTCCTAAGTAATTGCAAAACACATTTCTAAAACATTCTGAATTCTTCTCTGTTGAGATTTATTCTATCTGAATCTAACAAATTTGACATGGTAATTTGTTTTCCTTTTATTAGTGGAACCCAGTGAGCTCTTTGTAGCCATGTTGTGGTTATCTTTGAGATCGTCATTTCTGTCTTAAACATCAAGCTGGGCTATCTAATGAATCTGTAACTGTGCTGGGAGTTACGAGTATTCCATGTAGGCTTGAACATTTCAGATGTACAAAACATGCTGTCAAGAAAACAAGCGATGGCAAGAGAATCTGGCTTGTTTTCACAATAGCATTGCTGTATTCAATTTTAATCTAAATTGACTGCTGCTTCGAAAGAAAATACCCCTAAAGTTCATCTTACTTTACTGTCTAGATTTGAGATTAAAAAAGAAATTACTTATAGCTTAGCCAAGTCCATAGCAATTACTCTGATGAGGTATTTAATACTTTCAAAACCAAATATGCCTAAAACTAAAAGAGTTTTGCTAAATAAAGAATTGTTTATTCAACCAAGTGCTAGTAAGTAGCATAAGAATCAGTGGAGTCTTACTGTGAACTGTAGTGTTCTCATATATACTCATACTCTCACCATTATGGTAATTATATAACTTCCAGGTATTTCTGGGAGGAAATACAACCCTATAGGCATATCTTGGTAAAACTGTGAAGTAGGCAAAATGTGCCTCTTTCTCCTAATTTTAGCACTCTGGTTTATCTAAACCTGCTCTCCAGCCCCTCTTTTCTAGGAGGGTGTCAGTTGACCCAGAGCAGATTAGCATGCCATCCCTCCCAGGGGTGTTAGCTTTCACACCTGGACAAAACCAACAACCTTATTGTTTAGGACAGGATTTAGGAAAGATATAGGCACTTTCACTGTTTCTTTAAAATTGTAATAGAGATATTACTACTATCTCTATTACAACAAGGCTTATTTTTATTTGTATTATTTTTTAAAACATTTCTAATATTTCAGCTCCCAATGTGGACAGGTTAGTTTTCTCCTTTCAACTAAGGAGAGTAAATGTTGAGCACAAAGTTGAGTTGATTTTACTGGAAATACTAGTTCGAACTGTGTTACTTTGATGAGTCACTGTTTTAATTACCCATTTGTGGTGAGAGGTTGATTCATTATGGATTTCTTCAGTTTTGACAGCTTTTTGTTGCTCAGAGTCATTGTCAGCTTTGCTTCAAGTGAAAGTTTATACACAGGTTTGTTTTTGTACCAGCTGTCATATTTTAATTTCATCTTTCCTGCAACAAGCTCACATTTCATCCAAGTTTGCAAAACCTGACTGACTGCAAACATGAGTATTCTGTTGTAATTGAAGGAGTTTCACTTGTTTTAGTGCTGCTATGTTTGAATTCCACAGCACAGCTTGAGGCAAGCCTTGGAACCTTCTATGCTCCAGCAAGACCACTCCTGGATACAACTATATTGGAATATAGAGACCAAATCAGCAAATACGCAAGGCGATTCTTCCACCACTTGCTCAGGTGAATGATACCTTTGGATTGATTAGTATTAAACTAATACCTATTGAAGGAGCCATCTTCTTTAATTAGAATATTCCATATTATGGCTACCTATTTTCTAATAGTCCATACCCTAAGGCAGCAATTTTCAACCTTTTTCATCTCATGGCACACATAAACTAGTTACTATAAGTCTGCAGCACACCAAAAAAATATTTTTTTACCAATCTGACAAAAAAGTATAATTTTGATTCATTCACACCGGATGGCTATTATTGTGCTGGCTGTTGTCACTATTTTGACAACCTAAGGGAAAAGAGGTCAGTGCCCCTGACTAAATAGTCAGGTATTGCATTTTTTAAAAATTCTTGTGACACACTGGTTGAAAATCGCTGCCCTAGGAGAAAAACAAATCTTCTCTTGATATCCTTTATTTAATTCATTCTTGTTTTTCTTTTAACTAATATATTTAAATATTGTTTAGGGCTTTTACATCAAGAGCACACTTTCATATAACCTCCCCTTTCATGTGAAAGCAAAAAATACCAGGTGTATAAATCAATTTTAAAAATATTAACTTAATTGTGCTCCTAGCACTAGAGAAATGTTTTAGTTTCATCGAAGCTAAACATATGAATGTGCTATAAAAAGCTCTGAGACAGTCATTGGTTTGCTTTACTTTCAAAATTACTGTGGACAGATTTGTCCATTGTCATATAATGTGGCAAGTTGCTAGCTATACTGTGCCTCTTTTTCTCTGCTTTAAATGGATATAATACATTTTTTTAACCTTAGATGTTATATGAAAAATTAGATAATGTCAATAAATGAGAAAAGTAATCTAAAAGTTGAAAAATAAGTACATATAGCATATCCCGTATATATAAAGTTCAAAAAAACGGATGGATGAAAAATGAATGGCTCAACAGAGATAGATGATAGACAGGTAGATAGATATAGTTTAGAAATACATACAAATGTGTCAATACTATAAATAAAAGGAAGTGATTAGTACAAAATCTAGGATAATTTTATGTATAGTCTCTTTTTCTTAGAACCACCCTGTTAAGGGGATAGTATCAGTTAACAAATGAGTAAACTATATATAAAGTGGCACTTTGATCTATACGCAACAATGAAGCCTTTGGAAAACAGTCATTTTAGAAGCTGAGAAATGTTAATATATTGTATGAGTTATGATCTGTAATTGAATTTTTCCTTCTTATCTGTATGACTTTCACATATTCCAAGAGACTCTTCACCCTGAATAAAGCAGTCTTCTATATATGAACCTATGCCAAAAATACTGTGGCTGTTACATTTATTTGCATTGAGGGCTTTGTTCTTTGCTCTATTATTTTGTTTTCCCTGTTCCTAGGGAAAATTAATGAATTCACTTCCTGCCTGAAAAACACAAAAGATTATACATGAATGGAACAGGCGTCTTGGAGGCGTCTTGGTGGCCTCACTGTGTCTCTGTGACTTTGTGCACTGATTTGGTTGAGCATAAGCATTACATTTCATAACATGATAATGTCATTATTCTAGGCTGCCGGCCCTAGAATGCTCATAGCCTACTAATACTCACCTATGCTACTAATGTGCAGTGGTTTTGTTCATTGATTTTCCTCAAAAGCAGCATTCTAATTATTTTTTGAATGTGCTTTGATGAGGTGACTATTATTGTTGTTATTATTATTAGACTCTAGCTTTTCTGTTGGTTCCATCTGGAATTGAACTTTTTCCCTTGGGGTATACTAGGTTTTTCATGCCTCCTTTTATGCATGCTTTGCTGCTATTTCAGTTATAATGAGTGTTTATTAGTTCTTTTTGACACTAAGCTGTATGCGGCAGTATGAAAAAATAAAAGTAAGTTTAGAGGAAATTAAATGAGATAGCTTAAAAGTTGGAACCATTCTTTTGTTTAATCTTCTGCCAAGAAGTTTTCCTGCTTAAGGGAAGAGAATCAGGCCAAATAAATACTTTTTTTGTATTTGTGAAGTGCTAAAATTGCATTACTCTCTGTACTTTGGCTAGCCAGTATTTTGGCTAGCCAGTATTTTAATACTCTAAAAAAAAGTTATTACATAATGGACTAAGTCCTAAACAGTAAACACCATTATATGGAATTTTAAACTGAAGATGAAGAAAAGGAGTGCCGTGCAGGGTAGGGATGTGCCCGAGATCACTCACTGGTAAAGCCGATGACTCAGATTGCCTGAGTCCAGATTCGGCTCTTTTGATTAAGAAGAATAAAATAGACTGATTTGAATTTCATGCAGCAACAGAAAGGGTGATTACAATGTGAATTTGTGATAATAGACAACTATACTGTGTGAGTTACTAAAATAAAATTTTATGGATACAATTTTGTTTGTATGTTGACAGTTAGAGGAAATCCATGGATATCCCTTTCCTGGAGGCCTGGAGGCAGGGCTGAAAGTTCCAACCCTATAATCATGTGGTTGGTTCTTTGGACAATCAGCCCCATCTATAGGGGTTTTCAGAAAATCACCTCACTAATATAAACTCAGGTGTGGTTGAAAGGAGCTTGTTATGAATAACAAAAGACTTTACTTTCACCTTTTTGGCTCTTGTGCGTGTTCTGTGCTCTTGAGTCAGCTCCAACTCCTGGCAACCCTGTGAGTGATGCCCACCGTGTTCTGTCCTTAACAGCTCTGCTCAACTCCTGTAGATTCATGCCTATGGCTTCTTTTATGGAGTTACTCCATCTCCTGTTTGGTCTTCCTCTTTTCCAGCTGCTTTCTATTTTTCTCAGCATTATTGTCTTTTCCAAAGAACCCTGCCTTCTCATGATGTACCTAAAGAAAGACAACTTCAGTTCTGTCACTTTCATCTCCAGCAGTGTGTCAGGTGTAATTTGCTGTAGGATCTACTTTTTCCGCTTTCTGGTGGTCCAGGGTATCCGTAGAGCTCTCCTCCAATCCTATATTTCAAATGAATCAATTTTTTTCCTATCAGGTTTCATCACTGTCCAAGTTTTTCATCTGTACGTAGTAATTGGGAATAGAAGAGTGTGGGTGATCTTAGCCTTTGTCTTTAATGACACAGCTTTGCTCTTGGTGATCTTTCCTAATTCTTCCATTGCTGCCCTTGTCTCAGCCTTCTCTTGATTTCTTGGCTGCTGTATCCATTTAAATTGGTGACTGGACCAATGTAAGCAAAATCTTGAATAATATCAGTGCCTTCATTGTATGTTAATAGTTGTGTGTCTCTTCTGTACTCAGGATTTTTGTCGTCTTGATCTTCATATGCAGTCCTGCTTTGGCACTTTTTTTTTTTCCAGTTTCATCAGAAGTAATTTCAAATCATTGCTGCTTTCTGCCAGTAAGATGATGTTATCTGCATATCTTAAGTTATTGATATTTCACCAGTTTTCACTCCTCCTTCCTCTGAATCTGGTCCAGTTTTTTTAATATGTTTTGTGTACACACTAAACAAACAGGGAGATAAAATACACCCTTGTCTGACACCTTTGCCTATAGGAAACCATTCAGTCTCTCCATGTTCTGTCCTCACAGCGGATTCCTGTCCACATTCTAGGTTACACATCACAATAATCAAGTGTTGAGGCTCACCCTTTTCTTTCAGAGCAGTCGCTAGCTTTGCATGATCTACACATTCGAAGGCTTTACTGTAATCTATAAAAATAGACTAACCTTTTTCTGATATTCTTTGGAGTAGTCCAGTATCCAGCAAATGTTCACAATTAGGTCTCCAGTGCCTCTTCCTTTTTGAATCTCAGATTTCTTGCTTCATGTAAGGTAGAAGCCTTTGTTGCATCACCTTGAGCATCACTTTACTTGCATGGGACATTAGAACAGTGGTCCTGTAGTTACTGCACTCCTTGGCATCTCCTTCTTGAAAACTGGGATGTATGTTGAACCTTTCCAATCTGTAGGCCATTGTTTTGTTTTCCACATTCCATATTTATTGACATATTTTTGTTAGGATTTTGACAGATTCAGTGCCTGTGGCTTGAAATAATTCTATCTGTATCCCATCAACCCCTGGTGATTTATTTCTTCCCAATACTTTCAGGGCAGCTGTCACTTTGCTCTTTATTTTTTATTTTTTTTATTTTATTATTTAAAATAATACAGATGTCCCTTTTTCTCCCCAATGACCCATTCCACCCCGTTCCTTCCCCCTCCCCAGTCCCTCTCCCCACCATTGTCCGTGTCCTTGGGTTGTGCATATATGCACATAAATTCTTTAGTTACTCTCTCCCCCTCTACCCACCCGCCCTCCTCCATCCCTCTGACATTCATCAGTCTCATCTCTGCTTCCATGTCATTGAATCTATTCTGTTCATCAGTTTATTAAGTTCTTTAGATTCCACGTATAAGCGAGATCATGTGATATTT